ATATTTAATACATAACTAACTCTATCCCAGTATTTGAACCCAAACAACCTCATTTTTGTTAAAGATTTTATATTCTTTTTTTGAGACAGGGTCTCCCTGTAGCCCCAGTTGGCCTGGAACTTTGTAGACCAGGCTGGTTTGAACTTATAGAGATTGTGCACTACCATGCCCGGCCCCGAAAGATTTTATATTAATTTTAAAATCCTAAATTAACAAACCCGGCATGGTGGTTTATGCCTTTAATCCCAGCACTCAGGAGGCAGAGGCAGGCGGATCTTTGTGAGTTCAAGTCAAGCTTGGTTTACAAAGTGAGTTTCAGGCCAGTTGGGGTTACAAAGGGATCCTGTCTCAAAAAGACAAGGGAAAAAAAAATCCTAAATTAGGAAACTTGGAGTCAACAGTCACTGTTGACTCATCTTCATAGTCTACCTATATAGGCATCAAGTTATTACTTTCTTTTAGTGTTTTTATGTTCATCCTCTTATGTGCCCTCTAGATCAGACTCAAAATAACTTTTAAAAAATTACATATTGTGTGTGTGTGTGTGTGTGTGTGTGTGTGTGTGTGTGTGTGTGCACCTGCATCCATTCCTAGGTTCAGGTCCAAGGCCATAAACCCTATGTGGTACAGCACATAGGGAGGAGGCTAAAGCAGGAGGGCAAGTTGCAGGGCATAGGTTTTGTAGCAAGACCCTGTCCCAACAAGAAGCACTACCAAAAGTTCATCAGTAGAGGCATGGATGGGTTCTCTAACGCAAATGTCTGCTCTATGCTGTATCTCTTGACAGGCCTTTTCTACGTGACAGTATGATGTCCTGTGACACCCCCAAACTAATGGGGAGAGAGAACATCCTCTCCAGCAGCATTAGAAGAAAAGCTCCCAGAAAGGACATTTCATTTGGGGTTATGTCTATGAACTAAGCATTCTGAGTTATCACCTTGGGACACATATCTCTTCAGTTTTTTAAAAAGATTTATTTTGGTGTATGTGTGTGTGTGTGTGTGTGTGTGTGTGTGTGTGTGTGTGTGTGTGTGTGCGTGCCTTGGGGGAGTATGTATCTATCAGTGCAGGTGCCCATGGAGTCCAGAAGAGGACTCAGATCTCCTGGATCTGGAGTTACAGGCAGTCATGAGCCATCTGATATGGGTGCTGGGAAGCAAACTTGGTTTTTCTGCAAGATCAGCAAGCACTCTTAACCACTGGGCCATCTCTCTAGCCCTTCTTTAGTTTTGAGAACAAATTTATTCTGATCCACTGCTAAAATCCCAATGAATGGCTGAGGAGGTAGTGCCTAAAAGGAAGAAATTCTGGAAAGATGGAAAAGTGCAAGACACTGAATTTACTTTACTTTTCTTGCATCTCACACCTGATCAGCTATGAAAAGGCCCTCCCCATTAAAAAAAAAGGTGTGTGTGTGTGTGTGTGTGTGTACCGTGAAGGTTAATATTGTTAACTTGACAGGATCTAGGATCTCCTAGGAGACAAGCCCTTAGGCAAGCCTATGAGGTATTGTTTAGACTAATTGAGGTAGGAAGACTCACTTTGAGTGTGGGTGGCATCATTCCATGGGCTGAGGTCTTGAACTGCATACAGAGGAAGAAAAGTGAAGAGAACATTCATCACTCTCTGTTTCCTGGCTGTAGACACCATGTGGCCAGGTGTATCAAATTTCTACCACCATAACTTACCCATCTTGAGGGATTTCGTCCTTAAACTGAGAGCCAAAATAAACCCTAAATTGCTTTGGTCAAATATTTTATCACAGCAAGGAGATAATGAGCTAATACAGGCACTTTCTATAAACTACCTTAAAGTTACTTCCTTATTCAAAGCCATTTATGTTGGGTAATCAACTCCTTTTGACTTGGCATTCAAGGTTCTTAGAAATAATAATGATAACTTGTTTTTACTTTTTGTTTTTTTGAGACAGGTCTCCCTGTTGCCCCAGCTGGCCTGGAACTTGCTATGTAGATCAGGCTGGCCTCAATCTCACAGAGCTCTGCCTCCCTCTGCCTCTTGAGTGTTGGAATTAAAGACATGTGCCACCACGCCCAGGTTTGTTTTTCAGTTTTACAGTAGCAGAGCTGTTAGGTGAAAAGTGAGGTAAGGACAGGAGCCTTTTCTTCAGCTAATGGTCAAAAGCTGTGAAGGTTCCATGTAGTCATTTAAAGGATCAAGTCTGTTTTTGTTTTGAGACAGGGATTCACTGTGTATCCCTGGCTTGCCTGGAACTCCCTATGCAGACCAGGCTGACCTTAAACTCACAGACTCACCTGCTTCTGCCGCCTGAGTACTAGAATTAAAGGTGTGTGTTACCACATCTGGCCCTATTGTTTTGTTTTTAATTTTAATTTTTAGCTTAGTAATACAAAGCTGAAAAGTTTAAATAGGGGCTGGGTGTGGTGGCGCAGGCCTTTAATCCCAGTACTCAGGAGGCAGGTACAGGTGGATC